TCAGTGTGAAGGTCTATCAATCTATAAGCAGCACAGGAATGATGTAGCACCTTCAGGGTCTTGTTGTGCCGTTGTAGTTCCCTGCAAAGGCTTTCCAGCTTGCTGCGAGCCAGAATAGCCTTGCTGTGTTCGCTCTGAAGATGGATCTTCTCTTTGAGGACCTGCGTCTGCTTCTTCTGCAACACCTTCACTTGCTTCTGCATACTGCGGCTGTCTTCTAGCTGTCAATCAAAGAGATTCTGTTATGTTTTTAACAGTTACTACGTGTCTATCATTGTTACTGCAGTACACCATATAGTTAGACAACAGGACTAGCTCCGAAAGCTACAGGTACTTACCAGGTCAGCATACTTTTTGCAAAGAGCAGCAAGTTTTTCCTCGGGAGTGGCTAAAGTGTGAAGGGCTTGCATCAGTAGCAGCACCTCTTTTCCTGCATTAAATGAAAAAGAGCAAAATAAAGAGCGCATTTAAAGTAAGTGAAGTATTTTAGGGTCATCGACCAGTTACTGTAAAATTACACTTCTGTTTTGAAATCTGAAATGTTTACAGCATGCCTAAGTCACCTGCTAGCAGGATGTCAAAACTCAAATGTCTAATCAGGAAACAGACAAATCTAGCCACTTCCTTCTGATCTAAAATTAGCTCGACTTTGTTTTTAAGGCCCAGTAACTGAGAAACCTGAACAATTCTGATGACAGCACCCACCAAACATATTTTGGTCCTTGTTCTGATCACCACTCGAGTCCAGTTCTCCTTCAAGGGTGTCGATCCGGCAATCTTCTCTCCCAGGTGTCTCCCCTCTTACCTCTTTGTTGCAGCACGTGTTAATCAGTCCTCCAAACTCCCCAAGGTTATCTTGAGAAGGGGTCACACTAGTGGGAGGGGAACTGCTACCCTCCACAAGGCCACATGTGGCTGCCTCCATTCCACATACACCAGAAGTCTCCATCATGTTAGCCCCGTACTGTCAGAGGAAACAGAAACAAAACTTGTGAGAATATCTTGGTTGATTGTCCATGATGCTGTTGCACATATTTGACTTGCAAATGCCTCTTTAACATGTAAACAGTATCTGCACTCCTGACAGTGTAAAAGTCTATTACTGTGCACTGTAATCATACAAACACAATGGTAATTTATCCACTCTCTATCATCTAGACTGAACTGGCCTGCGCTTACTGGTTGTACAGTCTATTGTCTGACTCTTGTCTGCTGCTGTTTCATGTTATATGTAGCACTGTGTCCTGGAGAAACTAACTATATTTCATCCTTCACCCAACACATCTGTGATGAGAAGGGATGACAATAAAGTTAACATTGACTCCGATAGATCACTTCACATCCTCAGGGGAAAAAAAAAAAGCAACAAAACTGAACCATTTCCTGTGACAGGATGGTACCTTAAAGAGAGTGTCCTAAGTACCTTTAGCGTGTATTGGTCACATGAAGATAATCAAGGCTGAATTAGGATTTAAGAGTTGGCAAAGCCCAGATTCTTTGATATAACTGTCTGTCTTAACTTCACCTAGTTAAACAAACCTTTAAAAATTAGGAAAATAAATACATTTTTTAAATGTCTTTTAAAGGACTGATGTATATACACAGCTGTTAACAACTGCCTTGAGTGAATGAACACGTTTTGCAAGGAAAAAATGAATCTCTATAAAGCTGTGTGAAATTGTATCTCATGCTAGGATTTGCACAGACAGACAGAAAGATAGACAGAAAGATAGATAGATATACTTTATTTATCGTGTGAGGGAAATAAAAATTTCCATCGAATGCTCTGTTCCCCTTGGTTTTATCCACAAATGGTCAATGTGGCTGCAGATGTTCGTTCCAACCAAGCAGGAGCCACCTGGCCATCGATTAAAGACCAACATCAACTGATTACATGGGTGGAATCAGGTGTGGCTGCTGCTTGGAATAAAACCTGCAGTTACATTGGATTTGCAGATAAGATTGGACACCCCTGCAGTAAACTTTTTCCACTATTAACAAGGCTGATCCAGATGATTATCAAGCTCTTCTTCAGTCGGAGCAGGTGTATCGGCAGCAGGACAAACTTTAAACCAACCCTGGTCCTGGAGCACACCCTGTCCTCCTACAGGCTCATGCGGAAAGCGGGGTTGCGTATACAGAAACTTCTTCAAAGCGAGCTAGAGGTAATAAGGATATTTTGTTCTGGCCATTAGCACACATTTATGTTTTGCCATTGGCATGATCAGATTTGTCCCGTGAGTTTTGCATAAACCTATGTTTCCTCCTACCAGTGGCTTTGAGAAGAGCATCGTAACAGCGCTAACACTGATATTTTAATTAAAAAAAATAATAAAATTCTGACAATGGCCAAAAGTATGTGGACACCTGACCATCACACTCATATGTGGTTCTTCCCCAAACTTTTGCCACACAGTCAGAAGCACACAGTTATATAGAATATCTATGCATGCTGTAGAATTACAGTTTCCCTTCACTGGACCTAAGTGGCCCAAACCTGTTCCAGCATGACGATGCCCCTGTGCACAAAGCGAGCTCCATGAAGACATGGTATCTCAAGGTTAATGTAGAAGAAGTCGAGTGTCCTGCACAGAGCCCTGACCTCAACCCCACTTCCCAGAAGAGTGGAGGTTATTGTAACAGGAAAGAGGGACTAAATCTGGAATGGGATGTTCAACAAGCACATACGAGTGCGATGGTCAGGTGTCCACAACCTTTTGGCCATGTAGTGTACTTCAAGACAAATCAACACATGCACTTATTTCATACCTATCTTAGTTTAGGCTATGGTTCAGCGTTTCTCAAAGAAGAAAAGAAGACAAAAAAAAAGTATGCGTTGTACTTCATGTTTAGGAAGGGTGCTGATGCCATGTCGCATACAGGCGAGCTTTGGAGACCTCATTTCCCTCAGCAGGGGTTACAGTTACACTGCTGACAGGGCTGCTGGTGGTTGTTATTACCTGAGTACCTGCTGCATGTGAGGCCTTTGAACAACGTGCTGAACGGGTTACAGGTGGAGGAGGAGATGAACCACGTGCTGTACAGTAACACCAGGAGCCACCACACGCAACACGTGCACCAAAAAAATAAAATAAATAATACTAATAATCAAATAAACCCCTGACAATAATGATAAAGTCGCTGTGGTTCACTCAGACCGACAGGACCTGCTAATTTCCTGCTGTGTGCACGTGCGCCTTGTGACTCTCACTGTACTGCTGCTGCTGACTGACAACTGCACACTGACCACCAGCAGAGCCTGAAAGCTTTAAAAATGGCCGAGTAACACCACTCCACCAACAGCTCCACCGGTTACACACTGCTCTAGATGTTATTTTCTATATTATTGTGGTTGGCTGGACATTTGGACGGTTAATGTACCGGTTATGACCCGTTCATCAGATACAGATACAGATACACGAGCAACAAACTCTGCCTCGTGATAAAACCCACTCTGTTCGCGTAAAATATTAACAATATCAAAAAAATAACAGGTTCAGTCTCTTTAAAACTCCAGCTACAAACACCACCTTTAGTCAGCATGCGAGCTAGCCTACCTTTGTACCTCAAAACACTCCTCGGAGCAGAGTGCAGGTCCAAACAGGCGAGCTAAGCTGCTAGCTACTAAACTTTGTGGGAAACAAATCAGGACCCCCAGCTAGTTAGCCAGCTAGCTAACGTTACCCAGCTGCGTAGCTAGCTAATACAAGAATACTAGTTTACTCTAAAAAACCTCGCACATATTGTTTTCTCACGAATAATACGCAATCATTGTATATATAAGGTACGGTTTAATTAAAAGTGCAGAAATAAACGCGAGTCCATGTCTATTCGGCTTCTTTGACTGGCTAGCCCAGTTAGCTTAGCCACTTCCTTCGTAAACATCTAATACCCGTGGTGTGAGCAACCTCTGGCACTTCCATTAGACAAGCAGACACATAGTCTCTTCAGCTCGGGGTTTCCCCGACAACATCAGGGAAATACGATATACACACAAGCCAAGCTGTTCAATTTACCACTATATTAATCATTCAGAACGTCTTAATATCATACGGCTGCTGTTACCTGAAGGTTTTCGGTGTTTAAATCGACCCTGGCGCCTGAACAAGTCGCCATGTTGTGACGAAAAAATAAAAGCGCCAAGAAGCTTCACTGCAACAGGTTCAACTTTATTTAGCGCCACACAAGCGCTCCTGTCCTTACACACTTATACTTACTTTTACACACACACACACACACACACATTCATTCCGCTTTATAATTTTCATGTTCAACCAGTAAAAGAACAAAAAAACACAAGTGTGGTACTCAAAGCTTGTTTGAATTAAAGTAAACACAAACCCTGTTTTTAATTCTTGTTATTCAGGCTATTTTACTCAACATCAAATATATCAAGGATTTAAGTCCCCTATCCACTCCTTTTCATTCTTATAATTAGCTTCTTACTTTTATCTGCATTTCCTGTGGGAGATTTACACCGAAATCTAAAAGATTTAGGAATTTTCTCTTTTCCTCTTGCTTTCTGGACATTTACGCCAGGTGGGATAATATTCGGTACAGGTGACATCAATGCTACGATAGTACCACTCACAAGTATTATACAACAGTTAGTTCTGATCCACTAATCTGATTGGTTGAGCGGAGTTCCAAGAGTTCCTGTAACCACACTGGGATTTTCACTGTGTGTATCACTCCGCTTTTCTATGTTCACCACGTAAAATTCCACTTCCTAGTTACTACAGTAGTGTTCATCATCAGCGACATCATCAGCGGACATAGCAAATGATACTTTTCAGGAATATGTTTTTGTTCTTCTTCTTCCGGGTGCTCCCATTAGGTTATTATTAGGTTATTAGTCCCATGTTATTATCGTTAGTCTCCTTATTTGATTTTCGTACTGTTTTTATGCCCTTCCTAATGCAACCGTCCCCAATTTTATCCGGACTTGGGACCGGTACTGGGAGTGCACTGTTTTGTGTAACCCCAGTGACTGGGGTCGGTTCCCTGGCCGGTAATCGAACCCGGGCCTTGGCAGCGAGAGCACTGTGGCCTAACCACTAATCCTCCAGGGACCCACTTTTCAGGAATATAACTTTTGGTTAAAAATATGAAAGCTCGCCAGATGAAGATGAAAAGAAAGAAGGGAAGCCAAACAAAATATTTCGCCATACTGTGTCCAAAATGTCATGTACTCCATATTAATTTCATATTTATAGAACTGTTGTATAAAAGCAATATCGCATTCGCAATCATGCTGTTATACTGAATATCGGCATGGCTGCGATTACCTGTAGCACTCACCCTCACCTCACACACTTTGCCTACCTTCATGTTTTTGGACAGTGGGAGGAAACTGGAGAACCTAGAGGAAACCCTTGAGAACATGCAAAACTCCACACGGACAGTAATCCAAGTTCAGGATTAAACCCAGTAGTCCTGGAGCTGTGAGGCCACCCCCAGTCCGAGTCATTCATCTGCAGGTTTATTCTGAATGATTTTTGGCTGGTAATAGTGTCGCAGACACGTTAAAAAAAAAAAACCCAAAAGATTTCTTTGTCATTTCTGAGTTAAGCTCGGCACGTTCCCCTACAGCCAGTGTAGTGCCACTGTGGCCAACAAAGTTGTGGCATTTTAATTAAAATCTCAGAGTGTGACTGCAGCTGCAACACTCGTTTAAAAGCCACCAATAGGAAGATGGCATACGATGATCAACACTCACTCAACAGATACAAATACAGTAGTGGGAATGGGAAAATGCAAATGAAATAGTATCCTTATTACCTCATCCTCACCTTGAAGAATGCTATTTTTTGCAGTCCCATTTTCTGTACAAGCTCTGGTTGATCAGGTCGATCATCATATAATCTTACATGGAGAACATGTTATTGCACAGTCTGTTATAGTATTCGGTCAAGATTTTATTGGAATCATCTCATATGACAAGTAATAATCTTAAAAGTCTGCTATAATCACACAGTCTAATACTTTCGTCAGCTCCCCTTTTGCCCTGAAAGTAACTTATTTCCTGCTCACTCAGCCTCTTTATGCCTGAGCAAAAAAAGTAGTAGTGTATGTGTGATAACGGTGAGTAATTCTATTTCATGGAAGGAATGAGACTTAACAGAATGACTGCACTACAACTGAGATAATCATAGTACAGTGCTAGTACTGTAAAACAACAAGCTGGCAAGCCGTATTTTCATCTAATTAACACATTTTTATAATGCTCATTATTTAAAAACCTCATGAGGTTTTTTTTTAATGAATGGAAATGTAAGACAAAGTTAACCTGAACTTCACTGGCAAAACTCACAACCCTAAAAGCGTCTAGCTGTCACGTGATAGGCAGTTAAATCAGAGGACAGTAAAACTCACATGAACTTATCTGATTTTGCTGCTTTCCACAAGCATAGTGCCACTAGAAATGCAAAACACATACGACCCACATGTAAAAACAAATTCTCTGTGGAAGTGCCACTGTTATTCTTACACACTTTTCTAGCACGAGCACTTCACCAGTTGTTTTAGGGAGCTGCCAGTGTCTGTCAGTAAGTGATCTGATACGCTTACACAGTTCTGATCAGGCAGAAATTACTGTAGGACTCTTTGTAACAAGTTATAAGCAAATTGTACTATACCACTTGAAATCACATTGTCAGGAATTTTTAAAGCACTTTTTTTGGCTACATCTTTCTGATGGATTTCATTTATATTTTCAGAGCTGGCATTTCTGCTCTTTAAGTCTATTATTGATTGTATCTTTGATATAATCTACAACAAGACAACAATCAAAACATAAAGCAAAATCAGTAGAACAGAAAAGGATCAAAAGAAAGAAGTTAAAGTTGTCAGTGGGATCCAAAGCTGCTCAGTGGAGAGACTGAGAGACTGAAAGACAGTTATATAAAAACAGAGGGCAAAAAAAAATTGCAAAAAAAGCAAACCTTTAAACAATTTCGAATTTTTGAAAACTTTTATTATCCTGACATACACTATTTTGACCTTTTTTTTTAACTGACCAACTTTTTTTTGTAGCTTGTGGAAAACGTCTGTGAATCCTACTCCATTAAATGTCTTTTGCTTTTCTTTCTCTCTATTCCTTTGCCTTCTTCATTTAGTGCCGAGGACATGCTAACTAAGAATAAGAAAGCTGATTTAAGATTGGTTGGTCATTGCCACACATAGGGCATCTCGTCCTACTGGGCAAGATTAGTCAAATTCTAATGGAAATAGTTACTGGCAGCCATATGTACATCCATAAATCACTCAAGGGTGTAATTTCATTGGTGAATCTGGCATTAAGTGCACCAATTATTGTCTAAAACCATGGCAGACATTCTAGTGTGCACCGTCTTAGCAGTGTTTTGCAAAAGATCTCACCATGCTAAAGGTATAATTTGAGAAAGATCCAATTAACACATATTGTCCCACTTATCTTAAGTGTATTCTACCAGCTGAGACATGTTTTTTGTTCAAATTTTGTTTCATTATTTTTGCTTACTGAAAGTCTGCAACCAGCATCTTGCCAACTGCATTCCCAAATCATAATGCACTTGCCTCAATCTGTGTCAAGTTGCCAAATAATGTTCTTTTAAGCGGGTGTGAGTGGACTTTGCCATGCAATTAATGACCATTAGACTCCATTATTCATTAACTAAGTCAACTTCATGCAGAGCTCCAAGGCAGAACAAAATTTCAACACCCACATTCACCTGACTTGCCTGACATAAGTGGACAATTTATGCAAATTTGATTTCTCCTAAATCTTTCCATTAACCGATGGAGCCTATGCAAAGCAGATACAGTGGAGTTCTGACACTCAAGTACTAAGATACTAACGTGGTTCTTTGTGTACGTGTTCTCCAAAAATCATCAAACATATGTAGGTTAAGTCACATATTCTCCCAGGCAATTAATTCACATAATCTCCCAGGCACCACTGTTGTTTGAAATGTAAATGTTATTTGAAGGGCAGCTAAAGAAAAAAAATGTTATCAGACCCTTATTTGTTCTAGTGAGGAAGTATAAATTCAGGAGCCAAAGTGAAGGTTATTTCACGCCTCACTTCATCTGTATACTGGTGAGTCTTCCATGTGCATTTCTGATCATTTTAATAAACACATATTCTTTTCGAAATTACCAATTAATTTTTAATTAGAGATAAGATAAATGATTTGATCATTAAATATATCATACTTCTTTTTTTTTTTTTTTTTTTGCTTGTGTTCCTAAATCAGTTCATCCATATTCTTCTAGTCGAAACCATGGCACTATTTGGGAAGGTTCTGGAACCTGTTGGGTTCATGCAGACCATGCGCGTGCTCGTCGAGGGAATCTGCTCTTATCTGAGTGGCAGCGCTACCTCTGATGATTTGGACCTGGTGAAGAAGAATTTAGACCACATTGATCATGAACTTAGCTCCTTCGGGCCAGGTATGCTGACTGACGAGGAAGTCCACTGTCTTGAATATGACTTGGCTGTAGTGTACAATCAGCTAGGAGCAGCAGTGAGAGCCCAGACTGAGTTCACAAAACGTGAAAAAGAAGTCTTTCTGAGCTTTGTTCAGGAGTACAGACTGGAGAGGCAGCTGACAGCACTGTACAGTCGTATGATGGGGATCTCTGTGCTGACCGATCAGCCAACCCTGTTGGAGAAGCTTGTTCTTAACCGCAAGCCCAGACGCTGGGAGATTAAAGAATTTTGTGTCAAGGTCAGTACATATGCAGTCTTTGGGTGAAGGTGTAAAACATTCATTCATTCATTCATTCATTCATTCAGCTTCAATAATCACTTTATCCTGGTCAGTGTCGGGGTGGCTCTGGAGCCTATCCTGGGAACACTGGGCAGGAGGCAGGAATACACCCCGGATGGGACGCCAGCCTATCGCAGGGCACAACCCACACACACACTCATACACCCATTCACACCTAGGAGCATTTTAACATAACCAGTCCACCTAATGACAGTAATGCTAACTTCTGCACCATGTCATCCAGTGTACATCATCTACAATGCAATAAGTTTCTGGGTGGTGGTGAATAAGTACGCTGATTACTCATAGTTCAATCCCTGTACCACTTAGACACTGTGACTTTGATAAGCACTTTCAAAAATTCAGCTAAATGACAAAATGTAATAGTTTTTTGATGTCAGTCAGAAAAAAAACATTACTGTACTGGTGATTACGCATATTTCATAGGCGAGATATTTGCAAGTAAGATAACCTTGATAGTAATACACATAGTTGTAAATAACAAAGTCAAGGTCAGTCATGAAAGACAAAAGAACAAAGCAGAGACATCTGATAACACGAGCTGATAATTTGCTCAGGAACCACCTTGACATTCATATCTTAAATTCCCACACAAAAGTACTGATACAGAGATACAGTGAACAACCTGGAACAGTAAGGTTTTTTTTTTGAAGCATCCCCTGGAGAGAATAACAGCGCTAAATCTCTTCCATTAACAAGGCTGAAGATGCTTGTGAAGGATCCTTTTTCCATGCAAAACCTTTTTTTATATTCTTAGGTTTGCACATGTGTATTGCCCTCTTTAATTCAGACCTCAGGTTTTCAATATGGTTCAAATCCACAGAGTGGCCACTGCAAAACATGCTGCGTTCCCGCACCCTCTGCATATTTTTTTAAAAAGAAAATCTCTTCTTGGTAAAAGCAACCAGGATCTGGGATAAAATATGGTAATAGTTAGAAGAATTCATGATGTCACCAATCTTCACAGGAGTCCCAAAGCATCAATGATCCACCACCATATTTTACAGTGTTCATGAGGGCTTTTACTTATACACAGGCGCCTGATTCTGTTTAATGGTATTTTAATTCATCCTATGCCATTTGTTATATCTATTACTTGAACTGTGCAGGTCAAGAACCATCTTTCCCTGTGGTTTTGGATGACAAAGGGATGTTACATTTGCTATGACATATTTATACTCCAGGCAAACAATAAGTTTGCATTTCAGTATTATTTAAGGCTATTAAAAATTTGCTGGAGGAAAAAAAAAAACTATAAAAAGAAGTTCTTGAGAGAATGATTTTGTTAAAAGAAAGGT